AGGACCCCTGGAAAGTAAAGATGTGCCCCTGGAACTTCGGATATAGCACATGGGGTACTTATGCCTTTTCCTTAAATCAGAAAAATAACCTCTCAACTAATTGGCATTCCATATTGAAAGAAAATAAAAATTGAACTTTTCATTTTTAACATCTTTTCCCAAAAATCATGGTTGATAAAGTATACGACCTTCCTTTACTTGTTTCTGTTTCTAAATTTGTCTAAGTTAAAGAAAAAATTGGCAGCACTCTCATTATTCTTCTTCACTTCATGATATTCCTGGCAAGATAGCAGCCCCCACAAGGTGAAAAATGATTTTACTGAATATAGTTAGAAAAATACTTCTCAGCATTTATGGTCAAACATATGCAATTATTATAATGTCTCTCAGTTTTATGAAAAGGGGTAGAATGATTGAACAAGCCCTAGGACTATCCATCTAAAAGCTTGCCAGGAACAGAATAAGGTTTTTGTAAAGGTTTTAGTTCGACAGCTAGACACAAAGCTTCTACAAGTTATACCAATAATATATTCACCTCTTTTGATTACCAGAGTAGTTAGGAAAACCAAAAAGATAAGAGAAAGGTTACACTCCCTGTATCTATCCTAACCCCAGCCCCTATTCATCAAGAAAGATCATTGAGAAGAAACACATAGTGTTTGAAGCAGAGAAACTAAAAATGATTCACAATTTCCTGACTCCTCGGAAGGTCAACATTGGCATGTGTCCCATCAAGCCTCAGAGACCTAGCCCTTCTAAAAGATACATTCAGCAAAAGAGTGCACTAAAATGCAATTTTGACTTGTAGCAATTTGCAGTAGACACTCCAAGTATTAACAAGTATTAACAAGTATAACAAATAATTTCTTCCAGATCTACTCTGAAAGCTTCTCAATTGTACAATTTATTTCTAATTGAGAATTGGCTGGTGTTCAAGGCTGAAATACAGCACGTTGGTGCAATATTTTCACTTTTAGCACTTAAGGCATAAGAGTTGCATTCAGCCTATAAGAATTACCTTCTCCTCTGCGGAGAAATATAACAGTTAGATCAGGATATGACTTAGGTAGTGTAATACTGATACATCCATTTTCTTGCTCCAGATAGGAAGCCCAATTTTATTTGAAGGTAAACAGATAAAAATAAATTCTAACCTCTACAGGGGTCATAGGACATTTTCCATTTATGCGGTTGAGACCAGGTGCAATAACACGATATTTTTGTTTGAACTTCTTCCCCCATCCTTTCTCACGTACCACATCCATTTCTGACTTTTCAACCACTCCTCCATCATAAATACAACATGAAAAGGCTACCATGTCCTTCACATGTAAGAGGGAGTTTGCATCATTAGATTGTTGATCAACAGTGTCAATGGACTTCCAGAAAATCCTTTGCAAGCAGAACTAGGAAGAGAGACTGTACCTCCTCAAAGCGAAGGTGGATAGAAATATACTTCCCAACAGAGTTAGAGCTCCTCTCAATCATGCGCTTGACTAACTTCTTTGCAAGTGTCGATATGGCCAAGGAGAACCTCAAAGCTTCATAATTGGAAAAGCATCTCAGGAATTGAAGATGAGATGGAAGATGCATTGATAATCTATTAGCAAATGGGGAAATATGAACAACCCTGCATATAAAGTAACTAGTGAATGGATAATGTAGGTCTGCATAAGTAACAAAAGAAAGTGATATTTACAGCTAACTACATTCTTCTCTGTGAATGCCAGCTCTTAACATTCTTTCCTACTAGGAAAATGAAGTAGCATCCACTAGAAATTGAAAAAGAGTCATGCTAGATACAAGACTCTAAGAATAATAGTTAAAACTTAGGATTACAACAACAACAACAACCCACTTAGGATTAAATAGAAAAAATTGCTCTGATACCAATTGTTGCGGAAGCCAAATGTATATAGTGTGAATAAGTCACAACTACTA